ATCCTTTTCCCAGAACAGACACACAGATCAGAGAAACACCGCATTTTCCAAAAGTAACATCAGAAAAATCATAAGCCTTGGCCAGCTGAGGAATCCAGCATTACAGGATTTCTAAAGACCCACTGTGGGAGGAGATTCATTTTCTCTCCTCGAAATATTTCACACTATAGATGAAAGCCATTTCATAAGTCTGGCGATGTCTATTTTGTACATGTTTATATCTCCAGGGCACCAGCACATCCCCAACGTTTGAGTCAACAGATGTTCATATTTACAGGTGACCTGGTACTTGCCGATGTCCCCCTCTTTTTTGGAGCACCGCTCCTGAATCTTACTTGCTTATAACATAAGACAACTATGTGAAATGGTGAAAATGACCTGATTTAAAGTTGCAAAATAGGTATTCCAGTCCAGGCTTAGCAGTAGCATCTTAATACATTTAACCTATGCCCTCAATTTACTGTCGACATGAAGAAAGTTTAATCTCACAAAGCTCTGGTGAGCACTGGGCAAATGTTCAGGTTCCTCCTCTGTTAAATGTTAACAGTAACAGTAACCATTTGATAGGATTAGAAGATTAAATAAGATACTATGTAGGGGCACCTGGGGGGCTCGGCCGGTTAAGCGGCTGCCTTCGGCCCAGGTCATGATCCTGGGGCCCTGGGATCAAGCCCCGCATCGAGCTCCCCGCTCACTGGGGAGCCTGCTTCTCCCTCTGCCTGCAGCTCCCCCTGCGTGTGCGCTCTCTGTCAAATAAATAAAGTCTTAAAAAAAATAAGATACTATATGTAAGGGACACAGCAACATGCCTGGCACAGAGTAAATGCTCAATAATCAGCTGTTATTAACGTGCCTCCTCTTGTGCTGTCTTATAAAACAGAAGGGTTATGAGAGATGTGTAAGGAGTTGAAGTAAAAAGTGTGTTCAATGAATGGTGGTCCCTCTTTCCATTTCTGATGGAAGAAGAGGGAACCGGGACACACACGAGTCAGTGACGTGCTGAATGGAAGCCTGGAGAGGCTGTCCACCTCCTCCCCTCCACATTGGAAGTACTCATCTGACCCCACGCTTGTGGGGGTGTCGTGGCTGGCAAGTTTCAGCTGAGTCTCTCTGTGGGATTTGTGCTAGGATGAAGAGAGCTGCTCATCCAAGGTCACACCCCCTATCCAGGGCACCACGCTGAATGTAAACACAGGGATATGAACAACACAGGGATATGAAGGCTAAGCCCTTTGCCCCAATTCAAGGACAACTTTGAGGGCAGTTCCAGTTCCAGAGTTCCCTGGGATAAACTGAAGCTCTCTAAGCAACTGAAGTGCTATTCAATGTTTCCCTTTGCCCAATCCTGCTTCTTTCACTGCCTAAAAGTCCTGATCCCAAGAATACTCCTGCACACAAATCTGAGTCCACTGCCTAGAGAAATGGCTTACGCTACTTGTCCTAAGTCAAAAAGCTAATGAAAGGTCAAAGGGGATTTACTACAGATGTGCCAGCATAAATTCCACAATTATAAAGTGAGGAAGAAGAGACCAAATGAAAGAATGAACCAGGGGCGCCTGGGTGGCGCAGCTGGTTAATCGTCCAGCTCTTGGTTTCAGCTCAGGTCATGACTCAGGAGAGTGAGACCGAGCCCCGCACTGCATTCTGCACTCAGCCTGGAGTCTGTTTGAGATTCTCTCCCTCTCCCCATCCTACTCGTGCTCTCTTTCTAAAATAAACAAATCTTAAAAAAAATAAATGAAGCAAAAGACCTGTAGACAACAGTATAAATGCTACCCCCAAATATCCTAAGGGTGTCTCATTTGTGGGTCAAAATAAAAATGAAGAGTCATCCCTATTGAAGTTGAGGTGAACTAAG